TGGAACATGGTCTTTACTTAATACCCTAATGATTTTTGGCATAAAGAAATAACAATAATTGGCAATAATGTATGAAATTTATAATAATAATGAAATTTGGCAATAATGTACTTTATAGGGAGATCGCACACTCTCGAAGAGCTTTGCAAATGTCAGTCAGCGCGTTTGTTTTGTTTTCATCATGGGTTTGAAAATCATATTTCACTGGTTGGGACTCATCGAGAATTCGATATGAATATTCACAAACTGCAATGCTGCGACAATAGACCTACAACTTGTGATGAGAAGCAGAAGCGAGCGGAGAAAAAGGTACTCCTCTCAGAAAACGTACGAATAAAGATCATTTCAGGTGTTTAATTACTATTTGGAGCATTGGGATCGCTAGAAGAGGGCTTAATGAACTCATTTTTGTGATAACCTCAAATTAGACATTTTTTCACTTCTTTTGCCTGTAGCTCAAAATTAGACCGTGTGCATTCACACTCATTCTGCCAGCACGGCTCACAGATTTGCAAACACATGGCGTCTTCACGACATGGCAGCGGCAGCAACAATACTACAGCGAGAATGAAAGTTACACCTTCTTTCTTTGCGTAAACATTTGGGCGGCGTTATGTCATTGTTTCGACTAGTGTCTTTCATTTCGTAAAGAAAATGTGATTGGTGTTTTCCATACAATATTCACCAAATTAACGAAAGGGTGTTGTGGGTGCTTGCCAGGGTGTTGCTAACCAACAAACAGACAAACCAGCAACAAATACACAAATGCAATAGTAGATTAAATTCAGTTTGAACTAGTCTCTTTCATGTCATAAAGAAAATGTGAGTGGTCCTTGCTTGGGCAAAACTCAGCACATTAATGATAGGGTGTTATGGACCAGGGTGTTGCTAACCAACAAACGGCTAAGCCGGTAACAAATACAAACCAACTATAGTGGCTTGGATTGTTTAACTAATCTCTATTATTTCATAAACACAATTAGGTGTTTGCCCATGAAAACCCGGGTGTTGTGATTGCTGGGGTGTTGCTAGGGCGTTATTGTGTACTCCTCCATGTAATGTATGAATTACATAAGATCGTTTTGTTATAATGTATTTTGTGCATGAAGTGTCCAACATTCCACAGTTATTTTTTTCTTTATGTAAGTGCATTTTTTCCTTTTCTGAATTTTCAGTGTGAGCACACTACTCAAAAGAATAGTGCTTACGTATGCAATTTAGGATGCACCTGATGATACTATGTTGCGATGCAGTTGTTCTGAATTACTTTTAAGTGTGTAAACCAGTGTTTTAACCATTTTTATCATGTTTCTATGCAGCAGCTAGTATGTTTTCTGTAGGATTCTGGTGTTTAGCTGGTTAAATTCTGAACTTACCGTAACTACTAGGTTTGATTGCATCATTATGAGCTCTAATACTAGTGATCATTTACTTATGTTTAACAACATTTTAAACTGCAACTAAAAATAACAATAGTTTGTGGGGAAAAAATCTCCATGTAGTTTGACATCGAAAACATGAAAGCAAATGACACACCATGTATTCTCACTCAAAGTGCTGTAAGAACTAGTTCCTGCCAGGTCGGTTAAGCATTACCTCCTTTCCCCTGTAGGGTGCCAGCGGCTGACTGACAGCTCATTACGGCTGGGATAAAGAACACAAAGCAGCAGTGAAAACACACAAGAGCAGAAAGAGCGCATGACAAAAGCCATTCACACGTCAGGTGACCTCGGGACTCACCTCGGGCAACGACACGCCCCCCATCGCCCTAATCTCACCGACACATACAACTTAAGCCGATTAAGAGTTAGTGCCATTACTGAGATTACATCAAGAGCACTGAGATTCACATGAGAAACGAGCAGAATGAATGTTAGAGGAACTTCACATGTTCAGCAGATCAGACTTTTGAAGAAAGTGATCAGACGCACCTGCTGGACCAGAAAACAAGAGAAAAAATCCCACATCTAGAGACTAGAAGACTCATTTTATATGAGAGCACTAAAGATGAATACTGGATATTTTCTTTGACCAATATTCACACTTTTCTACTCAAACAGTTACTGGTTCCTTAATATTGTGTCTACAGATAAATGGCAAAATGTTGGTCCAAATTTTCTTTTGGAAACATTTCACTTCATCAAAATGGACTTAGTTTGTCAACAACAGCAACAATAAAATACACAATAATAATAATAATAATAAATAATAATAATTGTATAATTTTAATATTACCACTACTACTAATATTTATTATTATTATTATTATTATATCAATTACTATAATGTTATTATTTTAAGAAAAAAAAATATATATTTTAAATACTAAAACACATAGCATGTATTTGTGTAATCAATTCAAGTTAGTTAATTAATTAATATTAATCTTTATCATTGTGCCAAATAGTATAAATAAAACAATCATTTAAAAAAAAAAAAGATAATTAAATTTACACTTGAAGACAATATTAAAATAATCAGTGTTGGTATCAGTCATGAAATTTCATTCAGTCTCTACTCAGGAAACTGTATAATGCCCTTAGCAACCACCAATGAAACCCTAGCAACCATATAACAACTTGTCAAACAACTGCAATGCAACATTCTGATTTCTTTCAGTAAACATAGATATAAATATGCCATAAATAGTGTTATTAGTGTTATTCCTACACTGATGAGTGTAACCCTAATCTCAACTCAAAGATAAACTGATGAGGCCGTCACTCAGAGATCAATTACCCCACATTCCCTCCGACGCTCCACACTTTCCTCTTTCTCCAGCCGTGGCGCTGTGAAGGTGGGAGTTTGTGTGTGCGTGTGAATGGATGTTTGTGGATGGGCTAAAAACAAAGAGAAAGTGAGTGCAGGAACAATAGTGTGGGCTGCTGGGAGTTCAGTGGGGCGGCAGTGATGTGACTGCGGCATTGGCACTGTCAGCGCTCGTTTGCTGTGATTACATGCGATCGGGGTGAGCTCTCGGGAAGCTGTGAGTAGGTCAGGCCCGCTCACACACTGGCCGCAAGCTCCATCAAACGCCCAGCGTGAGGCCCGCTGCTGAAAAATGGGCCGTCCGGGGAAATGCGAGGGGCTGCACGCTCTGATTCCACCGCCAGAAATATGAATCACGGCGGAGGATAATTTCTGTCTGACGGCAAAAAACACTGCAGAGAAGAGCGAAGCAAGAAACACATGAGACCTGACCAAGAACTCAGAAAGAGAAACAATCTTGTCACCATTCAAGCTCCAAAAATGAATTCGAAAGCTTCAAAAACAAATAAATATCAAACATTTTGCACTTCACTTGGTGAATAAAATACACCTTAAATAACAACTTTCTCTCAAAAATTAAAGATCTGTCATTGCTTTCCTCGCCCTCATGTCATTTCAAACCTGTTTGACTTTTACTTCTTTGGAACCCGAAAGGAAAAACTGACCAGGATGCTCTTTTCCATTCAGTGAGATGCTGTTGAGCACAAAAAATGACAAAAAAGTACCATAAAAGTATCAAACTTTGCTTTGTTTATAGAGATTTCACTTCTTTTTCTAGCCTGTACTGCTTTTGTTGTAAGTTGCTTTGGAAAAATAAGTGCAAATGTACATTACTGTTCAAAATGGTCAAATATTTTAACATTTCTGCAAAGTCTGCTCACGGAGGCTGAATTTATTTGATCAAAAATACACTAAAAATAGTCAAATATTATTAAAATTTATATAGGAGGTGGCTGTTTCTGACATTATGTTTGGGGTCAGTAAAATGTTTTTAAGATTTCTGAAAGACGTCTCTGCTGCTCACCAAGGCTGAATTTATTTGATCAAAAATACTGTAAAAGTATGAAATATTATTACAATCCAAAATAAGGGATTTCTATGTGAATATCTGTTAAACTGTAATGTATTCCTGTGATGCGCAGCTGTATTTTCAGCATCATTCCTCCAGTCTTCAGTGTCACATGATCTTCAGAAATCAGTATAATATGCTGATCTGCTGCTCCAGAAACATTTCTGATTATTATCAATGTTGAACACAGTCGTGCTGCACAATATATTTGTGGAAACCGTGATGCATTTTATTTTTCAGGATTCACAGATGAACAGAAAGTTAACAAGAACAGCATTTATTTGAAATATAAATATTTTGTAACATTATAAATGTCTTTACTGTCACTTTTGATCAATTTAATGCATCTGTGCAGTATAAAAAGTAATTTCTGTCAAAAAAAACTTTTGAGTGGTAATGTACATACATGCAAAGGCATCACAGATGTATTCTGTCTTCTGAAGTCAAACGTAGTAAAAATGTGCCGATGCACCACATTTAAATGGCTTCATATGCGTTAGAAGACTTGAAATAAAGCACACAAGTTGTATGGATTATTTCTGAGCTGCCTTGTGTTTGGTCTGCTTTCACTACTTGAAATAAAATAGTGTGAAAGTTCTGCCAAATGTCTCCTTTTGTGCTTTACAAAATACAGAGAGTCATACAGATTTGGAATGGCGTGAAGGTAAATCATTCTTTTTGGGTGAACTAT